CAAAGAGAGCAAACAAACAGCAAGGGTATGAGCAAAACGATCTGGGTAGTTGAAAAGAGGTAGTTGTCGGAGTTACGTATGGAGGAATGCGTGCGCCAAGCCCTCGCGATCACCAGTCCGCTTCGCGGTCCGATTTTCCTTGCTCTAGTGCTTGATCTTCCACTGTATCAATAACAATAACATACAGCTCAATGCCAATTTCAACATAGTTCCGATCCTTTTGTTCCATACTATATGAGCGCTTCCCCTTGGAATGGTCGTGGCTCCGTTGTTGCGCTTTCCCTCCGGGGTGCGCTGTATGAGCTCCAATCTATATAAGACTCCGAGCAATATTACATGCAAAACTACATGCTCCTCCCTCAAAGGTCTTCGGTCCAATTACAGACAGCTTCAACGCTTTTCCACGACATCTGCATGCCATGATGAAGCTCTGGACCGGACCCGGAACATCGGCATTATCGCCCACATCGATGCAGGCAAGACTACCACTACGGAGCGCATGTTATTCTATAGTGGCTTCACACGGCGCATTGGTGATGTGGACGAAGGCTCAACAGTGACCGATTTTCTTCCCGCCGAGCGCGCACGCGGTATCACTATCCAGTCAGCCGCTATTACCTTCCATTGGCCTCCTGGAGAGGTAACTGGAGTGACAGGCCCCCAGGCTGGAGCGCAGAATGAGCCCACTCCGCGGTCTGCCTACCCCCATACTATCAATTTGATTGATACCCCTGGCCACGCAGACTTTACATTTGAAGTCATGCGGTCTCTGCGCATCCTCGACGGCGCCGTCTGCATATTGGATGGTGTTGCTGGTGTCGAAGCGCAGACGGAGAAGGTTTGGAACCAGGCAAGCACATATCGCATTCCTCGGGTCATTTATGTGAATAAGCTAGATCGTGACGGAGCCGCATTTGGTAGAACAGTGCGAGAAGTCAGCACTCGCTTGTGTGTCTATCCAGCAGTCTGCCAGATACCGTGGTTCGATGGAGGCAACGGGCCCTTTATCGGGGTAGCAGATTCAATTCGTCTCCAAGGACTACGTTGGAAGGAAGGCGAGGATGGCCGCACCGTGAAAGTGGCCGACCTTAAGCAATTAGAGGCTGAGGAGCCGGCCCTGGCCGCAGAGCTGCGGCGGGCACGAATTGCCTTGATCGAGCTGCTTAGTGAACATGACGAAGACATTGTTGAGAAATTCTTTGAATGCGAAGAAGATCATCTCGCGGTCTCGTCAGCCGATATCATCGAGAGCTTGCGCCGGTGCGTGTTGGACCAGACGAGTCGTATTGTCCCTCTATTTGCAGGTGCTAGTTTCCGGAACATGGGAGTTCAGCCATTGCTAGATTCTATCGTCAATCTTCTCCCCAGTCCACCCGAAGCTCCCGACCCAGAAGTGAGCATTGGCGGTGTCAAAGGAGGTCTCCGAGACTTACTGTCAGGGGACTTAATTGTGGAGCAGGGTGAGAAGGCATCTGCGCCATCTAAAGGAAAACATCCAAAGAAGAAAAATTTGGCTTTGCAGACTAGCTCAAAAGATGCGATCGGCAAGCTTCAAAGCTGTGCACTGGCATTCAAAGTGGTCAACGATGCAAAGCGCGGAGTTCTAGTCTACGTACGGGTATATTCCGGCTCCTTAGATCGCAACAGCCTTCTATTCAACACAAACCTACAGCTCTCCGAGCGCGCTCCGCGCCTGCTGAAGATGTACGCCAACGACGCCGTGGAAGTGGACTCGATCCCTGCCGGTCACATCGGAGTCGTAGTCGGGCTCAAACAAACCCGGACAGGCGATACCCTCGTGTCCTACGCAGGGAACAAAGCCACTCCCCCAGAGCCACTTACCAGTCTCCAACTACGACCGATTGCTGTTCCACCGCCTGTATTCTTCACCAGCGTTGAACCGCATAGCCTAAGCGAAGAGAAGCGCATGAAAGAATCACTCGCACTCCTCCTCCGTGAAGACCCCAGTCTTCACGTCAATATAGATGAAGAGTCAGGCCAGACGCTTCTAAGCGGCATGGGCGAGCTGCATCTCGAAATTGCCCGTGACCGACTAATCAACGATCTCAAAGCCAAGGCCACAATGGGCCGCATCGAGATTGGCTATCGAGAATCCGCACTCGGCACCTCTAGCCCAATAACCAAGATATTTGACAAAGAGATCGCCGGGCGAAAGGGTAAAGCAGGCTGCACAGCAGTCGCAGAGCCACTTGACGAAGACCTCGAGTCCCCAGAGGTAGACCAAGACACGCTCCTCGTTGAAACCAACGACGGCAACCAGATAATCGTCCGCGCCCCCGGTCTACAAGTTGACCGCTCCTCCCGTAGCGAAGAAGAAACCAGCCCATTTCTCGCACCAGGCATGGACCTTGTCGCATTCCGCACAGCGCTGCAAAACGGAGCCGTGGCGGCACTCGCCCGCGGTCCCCAATTCACCTTCCCAATGCATGATACACGCGTCACACTAACTATCGACCCGGCCGCCGACCTCTTCGGCAACGAAACAACCACCTCAGCCCTCTCATCTGCCGCACGCCAAGCCACTGCCGCCGCACTGCAGGATGTGCAGTTTGGCGCGGGGACAGTAATGATGGAGCCGGTGATGAATGTGATTATTAGCGTCGACGAGGCGAGTCTCGGCTCCGTCGTACACGACATTTCGTCCTCCCGGGGTGGACATATCATCTCACTCGACGAGGAGGTGCCGCTGTCAGGCACGGATGTGTCGTCAACTTCTGCATCCGCACTTGAGGAAGAGGCGCTGCCACCCATTGATCACAGCCGTGTTTATGCGCCGCCAGACCCGTTCGAGACGCCCTCTGTTGGTGTGGAGATCCCTGTTGCTGCGACTCGTCCGCGCACAATTATCGCAAAGGTGCCGCTTAAGGAGATGGTTGGGTATCTCAAGCATTTGCGGAGTTTGACTGCTGGTCGGGGCACTTTTGTCATGAGTGTTGATCGGTTTGAGAAGATGTCTGGACAGAGGCAAAAGGCTGTTCTTGCGGAGCTGAGAGGCGGGTTTTGATCGCTGACTCTTAGGTGTCAAGTCGGATTCAGCTAGAAATTTTCTTGTATATCATCACATCTCATAGTATCTCATCACTGTACCCATATTCTTCTACTTTTCGGCCACCCCCTCTCCTGCCTCTCCAACTGACACTAGGTCAAATTATGAAGTATATGGACTATGCATCAGATCTTCCCTTTGCCAAAGAGGGGAATTCTAACGAGGTATATGTGTAATGCAGATAGAGGGCAGAGTAGACACAAAAAGACAACACGGGACATAAAGTCATGGCACCAAAACAGCGACCCACAAATAAACAGAGAAAATCGAGTAAAATAAGGCGCTTATATGCTACCAGTTGTCATCCCATTCATCCTTGCCCTTACCCGTCGCCGAAGCCGTTGTATTCTTACCCTCTCCGGCTTCTGTACCGGACAAACCAGGTGTAGAGTTAGCCAACGAGGAGGCAGTAGGACCCTTGCGCATGGCAGCGGTTCCAACAACATCAGACCGTTGAGACCGTTGTGATGCAGTGCGGCGGTGGTTGGATGTATTTTGGTCACCCATTGACGAGAAGTCGTCCCAGAAGTCTCGGCGCTCAGGCTCCACGCGATTACGGTGTCCGTCACCGCGTCCATCTTCTCCTTCGACAAACTTATTGAATTGGTCAGCAGCGCCGCGAACACCGGTTTGCAGGTTCTGGCCGAGTGTTGAAGCATGGATGCGGGCCTGGGCTGCGAAGTCGGATTCAGCCAGCTGGATATCCATGTCAGTAATTGCGCAGAAAGAAAGTACATATTGAGACATAATAAAATCTCCCAAGTGAGGTCGTGCACATACCTGTTTAGCAGTTGGCTGTAGATAAGCATCATTAACCTGTTTTGCGCTTTTGCCAACCGTCGATGTAAACCACCCAAATCCTTTGGTGATAGTGCCCATTGGGTCTTTCTGAAGATCTTCAAACGGCTGACCACCACCGCCGCCACCCCAACCTCCAAATCCGCCAAAGGGCGAAGAGCGCCGCTCACTCGCAGAGGGCGCAGGCATACCACCCCCGAAACCAGTAAACTTTCCACCCTGTGAGGGGGGCAAATTATCGGCGCGACCAGCATTATCATTTCCCAGCTTCGCAAAGTAAGCCTCGTTCTGCTCCTTCTTGCTGGGCACATCAGCCCGCTGGCTGTCACCGGAGCGAATGGACGACGCTGCAGGCGACCCAGCCCGGGCGCCAGATATAGCACTCGCGCCAGCACCGGCCAAGCTCAAGGGTGGGCTCGATCGCGAGAAATTATTCTTCTTCTCCTGGCCTTGGACGTACTCGCGGCCGTCGACTTTGCATGATAACCGCTCCTTCCATTCCTCGCCCGATTCGCTTTCATATCGTTCCTTGATAGTCGAGTCTTCGAATGTGCGGCCTTCTGAAACAGTAACTGGGTGTTCGTCGTAGAAGGACTTCCAGCAATCGTTACCTCCCAGCTCCATGCGTTGGATCTCGGCGTGTTTAAAGGCATCCATGGTGATCGAACGGACGAAGGAGATGTGGACACCTAGCCCGCGATGTGTGCCGGCACAGTTGAGGCAGATAAATGTTCCAAACTTCGGGGAGGCCTGGTTAATGTGCCCATGGCAGGCAAAGAGTTAGCATAGTGTGTGGTTTGCGGGGTGTGAGAGTGTGGGTTATTTGGGATGATAATGCCTCTCGAGAAGACAATATCAGGGCGATGGGTGAAATGGAGAGATAATACGTACCCATTGAGGCGATGGGGCACCGCAATCGCAACACTTGTCATTTCCGTTCGTCTTGGAGATTTGGAGGAGCTGTAGTATATGTCTGTGTCAGTAACCATGGCGCGTTGCGGGATTTGATCTGGCAGCACACCTTTGTCCTCGTTTCTGGGTCGACCTCCCACATGCGAGACATAGGGATAGTGAGTGAATATACAAAGGCGACCAGGTGAAGTTTTAGGGAACGCAATCCAAATAACGGAGTGCGCTAGTATGTTGTAGGGTTGACCGACTCGGCACCGACGTTGGGTGATTTACCCCTTTTTTCTCGATTCGATGGAGTTGCGCGGAGATTGAAAGGTACTGAAGACAAAAAGTTAATGCAATTGGCTCGATGATAGAGTAAAAATCAATTGAACAGAAGTGAAACAATACAAGTTCTGTGTTTTGCCTCTGATCGGCAAGGGTCGGACATTCGCGTCATCCCCAACCAAATCAGGCACCCATTTGTACAGACTGCGATGCCTATTTCCATTGTGTAGGTGTGGACTACTGCGTATTCTTAAATACAATATGCCAGGTGGCAGATCGTCATCATTTAGTAAATGTGTGCTAAGGTACAATACAGAAGGCGAAGAAAAAAAAAAGAAAGTCGTTAAGGACGGAAAGCACATCAGCTAAGATGGCTCTCCTGCATGGTCAACTGATCCATGTTGTCCGATAAAAGTCATGAATCCAACCCCTCCAGGGCTCTCCCCAATTTCCCCCGCAATCGTTGAGTAGCTAAGATATTCACGGTGATGTGTGATTTGCAGAGCACTATGATCATATCGATACGATCCTCTGTTGAGACCTCCCCTTCTGTTTCTCAACCCCAAAGCCAATTATCAAGTACCTGATTCACTCGAGTGGAATGTGTTGGGCATTTAAGCCTTAGTGGTGACGGCAGGAGCAGCGTTCTCCTGAGCAGGAGCAGGAGCGGCGGGAGCAGCATCGGAAGCAGGAGCGGCGGTCTCCTCGGTCTCGGCCACAGCGTTGATATCATCATCTTCCTTACCGGGGCTGTCGATGGCAACCTTCACAGCGATGACACGGCCATCAATGTCCTTGCCGTTCATCTCGCTGACGGCCTTTGCCTGGAGCTCCTCCGAGGCAAGGTTGACGAAACCAAAGCCACGGGTCTTGCGGCGCTCGTTGCGAGCCTGCAGCTTCTTAATCATGAAGCGGGGGATGGGACGAAGGGCAACCTTGGCAGAGACAGGCTCGTAGGCGGCGAAGATCTCCTTGAGCTAAAGGGAGGAAGGCATGTCAGTCAATGTAACCCCAGGCGGAGAAAAGACGGAAGAAAATAGATGTAACCCACCTTGTCCTCAGTCAAGTCGTACGGCAGGTTAGCAACCATGACCTTAGTCTTAGAAGGAATGCCATCCTCGGGAGGACCGCGCTGCTTCTGCGGGCGTGCGGCGCGGTTCTCACCAGCCTTGGAGGCAGTAGAGGCAGTGTCCTTCTCGTTTGTGGTGTCAGCAAGGGGAGCCTCAGTGACAGGGGCCTCGGTGGCTTCCTGGCCATCCTGGGCCTTGCGAAGTGTCAGCATCCATTTCAGTGTGTCGATGTGCGTGGATTCAAGCAAGGAAAGAGTTTGGGCACATACAGCACGGCTACGACCGGTACGGCCACCACGACCGCGGGCACGGCCACGGCCACGGCCGCGACCACCAGCACGCTTGCGGCCCTCGGCGCCACTGGCACCCTCACCGCCACTGGCAGCACCTTCCTTGGCCTCGGCGGGCTCGGGTTTGCGGGCAAGCTGGACGGACACCTTGCGCTGAAGAATCTCCTTGCCGGAGAGGGCCTCGATAGCGGCAGAAGCTTCAGCGGCAGTAGCAATGTCCACAAACGCATAGCCAACGGGGCGGTTGGTGCGGGGGTTCACCGGGATCGAGGTGGTCTCGCTGAAAGATGAAATGAGTCAGAGAGGGGCCAATGGATGATGGTTTTAGGTTGGATGTTTGTTGAAAGTGGTGTTAATTGGATTTGAACCACAAACCAGGGAGTTACTCACATGGTGTAGGCCTTGAAGAACTCCTTGAGCTCCTCCTCAGTGGTCGCGTATGCGAGGTTCCCGATGTAAAGACGACGACCCTCATCTGCACTGGCAGCCGCAGCATCGGCAGCCTGGGTGGAAGGGGTAGAACCGTTGATTTCGGGCTTATCAGTGAGGGTGGTCGCAGCCACGGAGTCAGCAAGTGCGGCGACGTCAGACATCTTGAAGGTTTGAGATGTTTGGATGATGAAAAGTGTCGGGTTGATTGTTTGCCTAAAGCTGAAAGAGACTTGACGGGAGGTGGAGCGAGGGGAAGGAGCAGGGTAGCTTCGTGCCCTAGATACCAATTGAGAGAGAAGATGAAATTGAAGTTTTTGATGCACTGGATCTTGGAGAGAGGGAGGAGGAGGATGGGAGAAGGAGATGGAAAGGGAAAGGAGAGGCGGTGTGGCACTAGCCCAGTGAGAGCTCGAAGTGACGGGACAGGTGCGATGGGGGTACTTTCCCTTCACTCAGTTGGGCTCTAACCCCTAACCGCTCCCCTATTCAACCCCTATTCAACCGCTAACTAACCCCCAACTCCCCCTAATTTTAGGCTCCTAACCCCCCAAGCACTCCCGAGGTTCCTTTCCCCAGCCCCGCCTTAATTGAAAGCCTGACTCAGAACAGCTGGCCTGATGTCATTCTGGAGACCTTTTGAACCAATTGTCATCTGTTCCCTTCTTCCCTATTTCTACCACCTTTATATATCATTCCACTCTGCTATTCATGGATTCTATGTTGTATTTTGTTCTTAATTAACATTCTGCTCACTCTGCACATCTGCATATCATCCCAAACTCTGTATATGTGCATGATACCCGTGTGACATGTTCTATAAATAATCAAAAGGTCGATCTTCCACCTCATTTATCTCCACTTGATATTCTCCACGCCTTCAGATTCATCTTACTTTGTCTATTATTATAGAGGACAGGGATGAATATAAAATTGTCTACCCCGTACTGAAATTCAAATAGGCATTCAACTAGATCTATTATTCAGTCTTGAATAAAAAGACTTGGTCTAGCCTACATAGGTAACACGCAGTGACAGTATTTGCTCCCTGACACAATATCACAGTTGTCTCACAATAAATATCTGCTCCACGCGACCTTCGATTTAGAAACGATTTATTATTGCCCTTGGCCTCATCTCTGCTGGCTAATTTCCCATCTGCCTAATTTTATAGCATTATAGCACTTCTTTCAAAAACATTAGCCGGTTTTAGGTCAACATGCTTCATAAGCAGCTTCGGTCTAGTTACTAGATAGCACAAAGATTCGCTTTTCTGTACGTTGCAGTGTCAACTAAAAGATCCTTGCCTCATGCTATGCATATTAGATCTGGCTTTTGGAAATTTATGATTTGACAGGAAGCTTCTCGATTGGACTGATATGGGTCCCCTCTCTCCAATGTACAATGTAGCAGTAACCACCCATGGCACAATGATATGTTTAACAATTCCATGATAGTAATCCTAAAATGACATGGAATGAATTAACCTAGGCTTCTATGAGCCAAAAAAACCTGCTAATCACTATCAGTGCGTACGTATGTAGTATGTAGTTTGTACGATATCTTGTAAAGTACGTACATGTAGATCTACATGGGTTTTCTTCTGGTGACGTCCCATTATGGTCCACGGAGATTGCCATCGTCGCATGAGGCACCTGGGCACCTTGATTATCAGGCTACATAAAAGCTTGGTACACCCGTAACTAATCCACTTGAGTAGCTTCTTGACTATAAGTCAAGACTTGCTACTGTGCGAAATATGGAACATCTAACTTTTAATATTGAAAAGAGACCCCTTAACAAAAAAAAAAAAAAATAGAAGTAGAAACCTTGCAAACCCGAGATCGCCGGTTTAGTGACGGACTGTGCAGTCCACTGACTCGTCACTGGAAAAGAAGAAAAAAACAAGATTCGGGAAGCGCTGAGTCAGCCTCCCATTTAAACACCAAGAGATCCAGAACGTCTACGGACTGTTTTCCATGCGGACCAGAATGGGGAGTTCCAGGTCCTTGGTTAACTTATATCTTCCTTTTAATATCTCGGGGGCTACTTGTATTGTGTGATCTTGTTCCCGACCTTCCAGAACTCGTCGCTCCAGCAATATGGATCGCATCGACCTGGCCGAGGACCCCAACGCCCCTAATGGGAATCCTCAGGGGACCCAACCCACAGGGCAACCCACAGAGTCTGGCCCCGTCAGGCCAGCAGGTCCTACCCCGTTGCGCACTCGAGCCGACTCACGGACGCGACGACCCAGTATTCGCCTCTCTCGCTTCCCATCTATCCCTTCAATAGATACCATTAATCAACCGTCTCAACCCGAGGGTCAAGGTCAACCACCGTTTTTCGAGCCGCAGCCCATCAGATCCCCTGCCCCCAACGAAGAGGATGAAGCATGGCTGGCAAACCGACGGCGCAGCAACTCGGAGCCAAATCCCGGACGATGGTCATCTCCCCCTCCCGATGTCCTTTCACGAGTGGCGACTCCCATGCGAATGATGCCTGTGACCGAGGAATCTTCACACCAAAGTCCGGCACTCCCATCTCCAGCGGCAATATTGCCTGGTCGAGAGGCTCATTCCAACTATGAACCTGATCTGGAGCAAGGCGAGACCCCTCCCCAACTAGCGCAACCGGCGAGTCGGCTTCGGCGAACTAGTCAAGCTGCGTTGAATCGCTTTACTCGAAACCGTGCAACCACGGTGACGGGAGCTGCACCGACTTTAGGCACACAGGAGGAGCAACGACAGAATGAGTATGGATCCCACGTGGTCGACGTGCTGGACGTGATCGGTAAGCATTGATGCCAAGTGTGATACAGAAACCGTAATGTTAACTTACCGAATGCTAGACCCCGAGGTCTCTGCGCTTTCCACTCTCACCAATGTCCAAAACTCTCTCTTCGTGCCGAACCTGGGTGGGTTCATCAATCGCATGCCCACCTATACGATTACACGGCCACAATATTCCTCGGATGAAGAACAGGGAACTACAACCGACGAAAATGAACCACCCGAGGGCGACAAAACTAAACAGCGGCCGACTTTACAACAACTCCAATCGTTCACGAGTATGTCCTCGGCGTTACGTGGTCCCAAGTATGCCGTTCTCCCAGAAGGACATGGGCTTGATGGATGGACCAGAGAAGAGTACGCCGAACTCAATGATCATGTTCGACATATGCTTCACTCTCGGCGGTCCAGGTTCAAACGGTCCATGAAAGGGTTTAGGCAGTACATACGGAAGCGTGAGTGATACTCCTACCAAGGCATCTCTTTGCTTGATACTAATCTCGCCTAGCCCTCGGCTTTCTTGTAACTCTCTACGCAACTTTGATCACCCTGTTCGGTCTGGCCTGGGTTCTTTTCTTGATTGGTGAGGTCTCTTGGTCCGATACTTTTGACTAATATGCTAACAGCTACTTCAGGTTGGATCAATGTCGGTGGAAAACAAAGTTATGTTGTCAATGTCATCGATAACGTTTTGGTTGCCCTGTTCGCCATCATGGGTGATGGACTAGCTCCTTTCCGCGCGGTGGATACATATCATATGGGTTTCATTGCCCATTATACATTCTTATCGTGGAAGGTTCGTCGGAAGCGGGCCCTGCCAGGCCTCAAGGACAAAAATGATCTTCCATCGAAGCCGGAGAAGGATGCCGACCTTGAATTTGGCGACATGGCCAAAGAAGACGAACACGAATTCTCTGTCCTCGATGCCCGCCAACAGTTGCGATTGATGCATCACCAAAATAAGTTCGCGAAGTCGCATACTTTCTATAAGCCGCACGAAACTATGACCCACCACGCCTTCCCTCTACGCTTGCTTATCGCTATTGTCGTCATCCTCGACTGTCATTCTATACTTCAAATGGCTCTTGGTGCCTGTACCTGGAGTATGGAGAACCCCAAGAAGCGGCCGTTCGCTCTGACGACGGTTATTCTTTGCTGCTCCATCACCTGTAATATCACGGGTGGTGTGATGATCATGATTGGTGATCGGCGAACCCGAAAGAAGGATGTTGTTGAACGGCTCTTCCGCCAACAGCTGACTGAAGAAGCCATGAAGAAGATGGAAAAGAAGAAGATTAAGGACGAGCGCCGCAGTGCTCAGATTGAGCGGTCTAGTGCCCAAATCGAGCGGTCGAGTGCGCAGATTGAGCGGTCAAGTGCTCAAATTGATCGCCCAGTGCCGTATGGCGGCACCTGATCGCAGCAATTTCCATGTTCTCACTTACGAATGTCATGACATGGGCATAAGAACGTTGGTCTAGCTGTGTCAAAGCGTTTCTTTATTTTGCCCCACCTGTACAGAAAAATGCTAGTTTGGTCGTTGTTTCATATACGCTAGCTACGGAGTTTCATTGGATTTCATGTAGGGATGATATTTGCTTTCTGGGATTTCTTCCTCTAGCCTACGGTAGCGTTTTTCTTTTAGCTGATACGATGCAATGGCTTGTGATTTTTGGTATATAAGATTGATATCTGAATACGACTAATCATCTGGGTACTTCGTGCAAAATAAGTGAAACTCTTCGGCCATGTATTCAATAGATATACACGATATAGTCACAATTCTCAACGAAAAATGCATAAATCTCATGAAAGTAACAGCAGGCCAGAACCTCAAGTAGTGATAGTAACCTTCTCCCCAACCCATTTCCCTCCACCACCCTTAACAATCTCCTCAAATATCCACTCACCAACCAGAGCCCGTGAAATCGTATACCCAATAGCGGGAGCCTTCTCCGTCCCAATCCTCACTTTCTCCAGTCTCACCCCTTCACCCCCTTTCTCCCCCTCAAACACAGGAACCAGATGATCCCCCGTCAAAAAGCTGGGCCTTACAACAACAACCCCAGCAGCGAGCACTCCAGCATGCCCCAGCCCAACCTCTTTATCAAGCAATTTCTCCATCTGTAGCTTATCCGCATGGGGAATCGGCAAGAGCACAGAGTACATAGGTCTGAACCAGAATGGCACATCCTTGTTACCAGGCAAATGCCCAGTCGTCGAGATTACAGTGACCCTTGGAGCAACAGCACGATACGCCTCGAACGATGCAAATCGGTCAGAAGCAATCTTCGCCAGCGCCTCCAGCAGCGCGCTTGTCATCTGTTCTGTGATATGCGGGTTCGAGAGCTGAATGTGCGGCAACGCAGGCATGCGCATCTGAGTCTTTGCGCATTTTGATTCCTTGGTGAAGGCCATTGTTGGTGTGCCGCCTAGGCCCGATATTATGCTTGTTACGAGAGTACAGGCACCATTGGGTGTGCCCTTGGGGGTGGAGTTGATAATGAGGGTTTTCATGATGCTTTCCACATCTGTTGCATCTCCTTCGATTATCTCCAGCTGGTGAGATAGAATTTCCTGTGTTATTCCAGGCTGGGATAGGAGCAGCGCGGTGAGCTTTGATGGGGTACGGGCCAGGGCTCTGGCCTTGTAGCCGCTGAGAAGGGTGTAGGTTAGGCAGGCGTTGGCGCAGCCGCCGGTTGCTCCGAAAAAGGCGATTGTTGTCATTTAGAGGATGCGCTAGTGTGTAGAATCTAAAATTCAAATTGTATATTGTAGATTGGAGCTTAGGGTTTGCTTGTATTGCAAAGCTTGGAATGGATTGAGATGATGATTAGTTCTAAGAACCCTAAGGATTCGTGGATCTTTTATAGTAGTAATAGTTATATACCATCCTTTCGGCGGATTCATATTGGCCATTTGATATCTTTCCGTCACCGATTCGGCCAAACAATGAAGTGAGGTTATAGTATGCCTACGATGATAGAACGTGGCCGTGTAGTCTAAGCCCGGCTCAACTAGCGTACGCTAGGCTGGAAGTGGTTTAGTGACGGACGAACATCCCACCGATGCGGGCGAACTACTGCTCCATTGAAGCCCATCAATGATCCATGATCTGGATTGCTGAAAATATATGAATAGACATAAGCACTGTGATTTTAATCCTTGTAAGCATATGATATTTAAAGAATTAAGCATTGAATAATATATATGGTTTGGATGTTTTGGAGATATATATCTAGATCAACACTGCAGCACACTCTAAATATTGGAACCACTTGATTTATTTCTCTATTGATTCTATGATCATTGAGTATCTTCGTAGATTGTAGTCTGTAGTTTCGTTCTTGCTCAGAATAATACTCATTAATCTCTAAAACCCAAGTGATATGTCTCCCTAACTACGAGATGTCGCTCAAACAATCACCAAGCTCTATATCTAAACTGAACTAGGTCTACTTTGTAACTGTACATTGCGACCATTCAAAAAATTTCATACGGCATACCTTACATTGTAGACAGACATCGAACAAGATTTATTGAATGGGGAATGGCTGTAGTTCAGCTAAGACAAGGTACAGCTCGAGCTACTCATTACTGCCGACCTTTTACAGTATACACTGCGGCTTCCTTCAAATACCAAATAAAAAACCTTGAGGATATGGCCTGCAATCCCATAAAACTGTATTTATCGGACCTGAAAGCGTTCGATCTAGACTTAACTCGACCAAGAGAACATGCGGAAAGCCCATATGTTGCCGTTTCAACAAACGCTAACATCCAATCCCTGTGAAGCTTTAATTTCGCATCGGAAAGGACAGTGTAGATCGGCGGTTGCCCATCGTAACATCGCACGCTATGCCTGGGAGCAGGGTGGAAAATCTGAACTAATCAGGATCGGCATGGGCCGGGCGATCTCGAATTCCCGAGAATTGAGAGATAGGTAGACGGTGGACCAAAGTATGGATAAGAGATAGTAATTTAATAGGATTGCAAACTATAATGTACGTACGAGTGCAAAGAGATAATGAGGTCTTAAGCGCCGCGAAAACACGCTGCCCTAATCATGACTGGAATGAAAATAACGTGCATGGTATCGGACAATTTCTGCCATCACGGTGCCCCTAAACGGCTCAAAACACCTCTAGGGTCTGATAGCCAGCGCCACCGACATCAAGTAGTCACATTTCCGTGCAGGGACAGCATTTGAAACCATAGGGAATTCATCGGGGATGACGGTAGGGGCTGCCCACACACCCTGATCACTTCTAGAAGGACCTTCAATCCGGATGTCTCACTTGCAACGTGTGTATGGTCTATCCTGGTTTAATTCGTGATCCATGTGAGGCTCGCAGGGGAAGGAAGTATGTAAGCCCCAATTTGGACATCCCAGGTCTGGATTAGGGTGTAGGGTAGCCTTGACGGATACCGTTGACAGGGCGGAATGTAGCTCAGGAGCCAAGGGGGAGCACCTCATCGATTGTTAAATTCCGGAACCAAAGAAAGGCCAACGATATTGCTAGGAGGTAAAGATGATCGGGACAAGCTCGGAATTAAACCCTTGCGTAGTGCATTCCACAAACAAAAATGGGCGGTTTGTTTTTGGCCTTCACTATGAACACTGGTAGATCACCTCGTGCCCAAACACAGCGAATTGGAAGATAAAAGGCAAGGAATAAGTCGCTCTCTCTGTTCTTTTATCCATCAGCTCTCTACTCCTCTGCCTTTCTCTACCTTCTATCTTCCAACCCTCCAAAACACTTTTTATATATATATATTTTAAAGATTTAATCTTTCAATACCCTACGTTCAAGATGCAGTTCACTCTCTCCGCCGTTGTCCTCGCCTTCGCCGGCCTCGCCGCTGCCATGCCCGCCGAGAACGTGGGCAATGGTCTCCAGCACAAGAACGGTGATGCTCCTCGCTTCCCCGTTCCCGACAGCCTGACTGTCAAGCAGGCCCAGGCCAAGTGTGGTGACCAAGCTCAGCTCTCTTGCTGCAACAAGGCCACCTACGCCGGTGACACCACTGACATCAACTCTGGCATGCTGGGTGGCACCCTGTCCAACCTCATCGGTGCTGGCTCTGGTGCCTCCGGTCTCGGTATCTTTGACCAGTGCTCCAAGCTCGACGCCCAGAGTAAGTCTTACCATGCAATATATTTGCTTCATCTATTTCTAACCTCGCTTCAGTCCCCATTTTCGCTATCGCTGTCCAGGATATTCTCAACCAGAAGTGCAAGCAGAACATCGCCTGCTGCGCCAACTCCCCCTCCACCGCCAGCGAAGACCTCGTCGGCGCCGGTCTTCCTTGCGTTGCCCTTGGCTCCATCCTCTAAGCGTATCGCTTTGGAGTCGGTCAGTTTTGCAATGTGGAAAAGTTACAGGAGCTTTGGGGACACTTTGTTTCTGCACTTTTAGTTCGTTTGTTTTGGGAATGTTTGCAGTGTTATTCTTTTTATAGAAGTCCTAATATCTCACTTAATACATAAGCTTTACATAAACCTTGGTCCTTCTCTTTCCTACTAAGCTTATTTCCATCGTTGTAGTCAGTACATCCATCCAATAAGTCTGACGGACGAACCAACGGAGACTCCTGTTTCGTAGCCTCAATGCTAATCACATCCACTAAGCCACATCGTACCAAAGAAAGCACAGTCATGTTTCAGTGGTATTTACACCTCGGTACTTTAGGAGGCTTGAGACCTACTTATCTTCTGGTGGTGGAACTTTAATAGTATTTAAAATTAACCGTTTTGGATTACACCTAGGTAGACCTTGCTAACTCCTATTATTTGGTCTTATGGGAGTGAGGTGCTAGTCCGCTCCTATGGTAGCTTTATAGGACTGGGATAATGATACAGATCTAGGAATCGCTTCACGTCACGATCGAGCGAGCTCTGACCGATTCACAATAAATATGTTACTGTCCATGAGACCTCGAAAACGGACTACTTCTCAATACTGATCAATTTTCACGCCAGGTTGATCTGCAATCCGAGGGTCGCGTTCATTACGGCATTTCCGTAGAAGAACTCCGTGCTGTCCAGATCTGTTAGTGAATATAGAGTGACAACTAGGACGAGGAATAAATACCCAGCATTGCCAACATTGACATATGTGGCCTCGGTAAATCTGCCCAGGTGGGCCATGGCGAGCAACCAGTCCTTCAGATCGCCAGAGAAAGAGCCCTCAAACTGATTGGTGGGCATTAGGGTGCTGACCGTTATCCCGGTGTCAGTATTGACGTCTTCGTACAGCGTCCACGAGGTCCCGAAGAGGTTGTCAACGGTGCCGGCCGGCCCGTTGGTCCAGCCGATGGGGAGCTGGCCGCCCTCGTACTGCAGCCACAGCATGAGCTCGTGCGAGGAGGATGACGTTGAGTCACCTTTGACATCATTGGTCATGAAGTCGAAGCAAATGTTTCCTGCTTGGATGTATGATTAGTAATACAGACGGATTTGAGGTACTGGTGTTTATCGCACCCTTGTAATTAGTGGAGTTGGTACGTGTCCAGCTGTAGGTCGTGGGGATGGACTCGATAGCGGAAAGTTTGGTCTCGAGGTTCTGGGTCAGACCGACAAAGGAGTACCCTTTGGGGACGTTGTTCCTACAGATAGATTGTTGGTAAGTTGTTAATATCGACGCAGAGTCAGTAACCTTACGTGCTCTCAACATAGTCGATGTTGGCCACGCTGCTCCAGAGAACCTCCTTGGTACCATTGTCGCTTGTGGTGACCCCGTCATAATTTGTACATTGCGTGCCGACCATCTGAGCCGCATTGTACAGCATGTTGTAGACAATCCATGGCGTATTTGGAAGAATAAGGTTGGCTTGGTTCCCGCAGAGACCAGTGGAGGATTGAGCCCGAGAGAAAAGATCGTTCAGTGTCGGAAGGGCGAACGCGGCATGGGTCAAGGACAGGGCCACCAGGGCAAGAGCCTGTCTGAAGAAAACCATCTTGAGATAATGCAATCTCCGAGACCAGCAGAGAGAATTGCTTGAAAGGAAAGTAAGAAGATGTAGAGTACTAAACAGATCCTAGATCTAGTTCTTCGGGAGATCTGATTTTATAAATCGTCGCTTGTATCCGTGATGATATGGGGTTGATCTAGTTCTAACACCCAAGTGGGCCCTGTGAGGAAGGGCAATAGCAATGTGAAACAACGATTAAAAGATCCCTGCAACACACTTTAATCAAGAAGAACTTACGAATACGAGTTTTATGTTATGCGAGGATTGCCTAGCCGAAAAGCCATCTACAACATAGTTACAGAAAGGAGGAGGGTCGACTAATCAAACCCGAGGGACTCTGGATATTCATCGCTCTTCTAGCAGGACCCAGAAGACCCTATTACGGAGATTAAGGGCGCTGTACGGAGTACTCGAAAATTGAATGCTATTGGTATTGCGCGCAGGGTGCAACAGGTTGATTGGGCGACCGAGTACTCGTGGGTTTGGATAGGGGTTGAGCGTTCAGCTTATATTTAGCTGGCGAAATTGAGTGGGCCAGCGTCAGGAGCTCAAAGGAGTACCAACTCTACTCCCGATCAAAATACGGAGTACATGCTAGGTATGGGACAGGTTCAGGTATTTGACCTCTCAAGATACCTGATTTCCCATGCTCCGTTCGATCTGAAAATTCGTTGAGTTCTATTCTAATTATATAGAAATATCGTGTTAAAATATGGGACTGATCGATGGTCGGGAAAGTGGTTAAATATGTGATATTATTTTGGCCGTTTTGTTTACCAACCAATTTGAGAGGGCCCCGTTACCGATCTGTTTTTGTTTTACGTATATCTTAGCAACCTAGGAATATAATACTGTATTCGTATTTTACACGGCAGCGTATTTAAGATCGCGGACTGGTGAACATCTTACCCTTTCATTCGAACATAGTTGTATACTAGTTAATTATATAAAAATATAAAAAATAACTAGAATATAAAGTGGAAAGAGGGCTACAAAACGTACTACTTATATCTTATATGACTTGTCTAGAAGGAGAAATATTGATTAATCAGTATAGAAAAAAACTAATGCGATCGATTGTTCGACCACTTCCTCATGACCGTTCCCTCACAACAAATAGCGGAGTTACCCCTTCGCATGACATGTCTATCCAATGGACAGATCACTGGGAAGATAAAACCCACCAAACCCTCCCAAGGTTGATCAAATCTTACATCGACAAAGAAGACTTCTCACACGCCGTTCGTGATATCCTGCGTCTAACAGAACTCCTGATCCTGTCCAGCCACTTCACCGAGGCCCATTTGATTGCCTCAGCGGTATTCAGATTGGTAAAAGATTTCGAATTCACCGACAAGGGCGAAAATCTTGACTTTGAGATATACACTCCTACCACTTTAAAGATTTTCTGGGATGTGCACAAATCTACGTTCCCCCAACCTAGGAGGGCACCATGCTCCGATCGAGAAGACCGTGAAACATGGATAGCACAACAACAATGGGGCAAATACAGGGAATGTACCCGTACGGGCTGGATGCTTCAGCACGTCGGACTCGCCGAGCCAGAGAGCCCCTCTTCTATTTGGCGCGAGACAGACGATCCAGCCATGCTGGCGATGTGTGCGCGACTGCTCGCGAAAACAACCACCCCGTGTACTTATCCGCCCGACAATTTAGCACGGGAAGCACTCGAGGCAGCACAGAAACTCTATGCAACACCGGATACGCCAAGGGAAGAGTGTGGGTGGGGCCCCGACAAGCCGAAAAGACATTCATATCTACTGTACCGGCGGTTGGCCGTTGAGCTCGCGATTCGCTTGGGCGAATTGCAAATAGCGGCGGATATCCTTGGCCAAGGGCTAAGACAGGATTGGTTTACTAACGGGGGTGAATTGAGCGACTTTTTGATGGTGCCTGGTATCTATGATGTTTTGCCTCTATTAGCCCGTGGTGGGAAGGAAAGTAATCCTTTCTTCATTTCCACAGAAGATGCCGTGGTTATGGTGAGGGAGATAACTGCTGCGCTGGAGCTACGGGCTGAGCATGGGAGACAGTGGGCATTGCATCCATCTAAGGTTGGATGGAGGGAGTTGTTGGATCGACTTGCTGAGGGGGCATGGAAAGCCCACCGTAAAGAGTATCAGTCCATGGGGATACAGAGTGCCAAGGATATCTTGTATGACCCTGCCACGGAGGAGGAGATCACGGCGGCCGAGGAGAAAGTTGGTGAGCTGCCCGCTGATTTCAAAGAGATGGTTCGATTGGCGAACGGGTAAGTACTGCAACCCAAATCACCTGCGAGAATGACGCCTATGTCATCGAAGCCATAACTGACTAGATCATCTAGATTTATGGGCGGCTGGCATTTCTTCGCAGGTGGTATAGCGGGCATTCAATATATCACCACAGAGGGGAACGGCTATGCAGACATTGGCTATGAGCATTACGAAGATGAGCTGGGAGATATTGATTACAAGATGATCCAACTTGAGCCCGGCACCGAATGCGATTCATTCGATCATTTCATTGTTCCTCCTAAGTACTGGAAGGAGGGCAAGTTGCAGGCGGGAAAAGAAGTCGAAGACGGCGAGTATCAGTACTGGCATTGGGCATTTTGGTCAGGGAGTGGAATCCGTCACTGGGACTCTGTACGGGACTTTGTTTGTAGCTGCGTGGAGGAGGTAGAAGATATGATTGAGAATGGCGAAGAGGAGGACTGGGAACGAAACTCGGATGCCGATTATCTGGAGGAAGTTGATGGCAGCGCACGGTAGTCTCTAGCTAGTGCGCTAGTTCGGATTTTTACTGCAGTAAAATTTGTATTACGAGTATTGGGATTTCTTCGAAGGTTATACCAACTAGCAAGTGACTTCAAATTAAGGTCCTAAAGGTCCAGTTGATCAATGTTACAAAGAGACTAACATCTTTTCGAACTGCTAATCAACATTCTGCTGTGATGCCGAACAACAAAGTAGGACCGAAGCTTAGAAAAGGATCTTTGGATTTGTTCAAGGTTGAGACTTGCGGTTCTTCTCGGGATCTACTTCCCGTGACAGTTTGTTGAGGCGCGCAGAGATATTTGCTTCACGCCATGACAGCTTGGTCGCGGCTGATGGAATCAAAGATAAAGCCTGTTTTTTCACGGACATGGAGCTTAAGTTTACCGTGCTGTTGAGGAAGTTGATAGAGGGTACGGAAGAGCTAAGAGAGGAAGAAAAGAGAGCCTGCCATGTTGTGACCAAAGACCTAGAGGTCGGATTTGATACTATGTTATCGGACCAGGAAGAGTAGATTTGCCATGACCAAAATTGGTAGAATACCCGAGGTCACGGCCTTAGTTATGTAGGCGTACTATGTGTTATTGTCGCATTGCAGGTGGTTGAACATAATTGCAAGTTATCTCAGCCCAGCATATAAAGAAACGATTCGTACCAAACCTTTGAGATTGATGCTAGGCATGTCCATATTTGTCAAATCCTGATACTATACAACTAAGTCAACTTCATTCACACATCCAAACCACAGTGTCCCAGAGATCAGCAGTGATTTGAGGATCTCCCTTACAGGGTCCAGCTCAAAACCTGATTGCAGATGCACAATCGAACATATCGCCCCTCTTAACGAGAATCTTTACCCAAATTGCGACCGCTAATGCAGATTAAGTCCTGGACGGCATACAAAAGAAGTAAACATTAAGAACAAGCCCACCAGCCCACCTATCCGACTTTTCGAAGTCGAATCGTCCTCTTCAACCTCCATCCCCACACCGTCTAAGATATCAACTCAGCACGGTGGTTGAACCGGGTCACTGATTATGACTTGGTCAAAGCCATTTTTGAAGCTTCGGGACCAGCGACCGTGGCTGTTGCCGCTGAGGTCGTCGCAATCCTTCATAGTGACGACGATTTCTCTGTCAATGTTCACGGTATCCTCCCCGCCCCCTTGATGTTCAAACAAAGTAAACTCCCGCTAATAAAATCTCACGTAGGATCTCTTTCTTTATGCTATGGTACACAATTTCTGACAAAGACCTTTGATCCTTACCTGACCGCGGCAGATTGTCCCTGTCATGCCTCAGGCACTAGTTTCACGAGCTGGAGTAGCATTCGAAGATAGTACGAGATATTTACGAAGATAGATACTCATTTACTAATAACCGTATCTTTTGATAGGAGAGTATTGGAACAGCATCCTCCTCATCTCTGAAGCCGTCTCGGCACTTACATGCTGTCCTATATTTGGATACATGCTAGACATCTCCGGAACACGACAGGGCCCATATCTATCCGGACTCGTGTTGTTGTTTGCCTCGATGGTCATCTTGACAGCTTCACATTCATTAACATGGTATATCATCGCCAGAGTGCTCCAAGGCGCAGCAACGGCCATGGTTTCGGTAGCTGGTCTTTCAATTGTGACAGATGCAGTAGATAGAGCGAGTCTTGGACAAATGCTTGGATATCTTGGCACAGCCATGACACTGGGATTCATGTCTGGTCCACTGCTAGGTGGGCTGGTGTACGAAATTGGAGGATTCCATGCCGTTTTCGGCATGGCGTTTGGAATCGTTGCTTTGGACTTCTTTCTTAGACTCGCCGTTGTCGAGAAGAGGATTGCTGAACGTTGGCTACGTCTCACTGATGGCGAGCGGCCAAGTCAGGAGAATGGTTATATCCCCGAACAGCCGCCATATGGAGCTCTCGAGACTATAACCAGTAGCAGTCAGACCGTTACAGAAAGTTCTAGGAGTACTTTTGCGCTTGGCAAACTTTTAAAGCAGCCGCGGATTCTTATTAGCCTCTGGGCAGTTATAGTCGCGGCCCTTGTGGTCTCAGCATTTGATGCGGTATGGGACTCAGTCTTTTATATTGGAATTTTACTGACAATCCTTTATAGACACTCCCAGTCTTTGTGGAGAACAAATTCAACTGGAATGTTCTAGGCGCAGGTCTGATATTCTTGCCAGGTGCTGCAGCGGCTGTTTTCCAACCATTTTTCGGTCCGCCAACATAACACCATACTCTATTGCATGATCCTGACCTGATTTTCTAGGATTTTTATCCGACCGTCTTGGAGCGAGAGTGATTACCTTTGCAGGCTTCGCCATTCTAGCCCCGAGTCTGATCTGTCTTCGTTTTGTTGAGGAGAACTCACCATCCCACATAGGTGTTCTTTGTGTCATTCTAGCTCTTGTTGGAATGTGCATAGACTTAAGCGAGCCGGCCTTGATAGTGGAGATGCAGCGTGTCCTGGATGACATGGAAGCTGAAGACCCCGGGGTCTTTGGGGGTAGAGGCGCCGTGGCTCAAGCTTTTAGTTTAGAGAATATGGCCCATTTTGGCGGCTTGGCATTAGGACCTATGGTAGGTGGGTTTGTGGAATTCCGATACGGGTGGAAGATCATGACACTTGGGCTGGGAATTCTTTCTGCAGTTACTGCTATGCCTATGTTATGGCTTAGTGGTCCTATGGACGAAGTCTCCTGGACTGAGTCTGCAGATGAAGAGATGGAACGTGAGCCCCTGCTGACGGAGTAACATGCGTCAGGCTGTATATAGTAACACGAACGGCTTTTTTTTATTGCATTTATTTTGACGCCACGACAAGTCAGCTCAGGTAGATTTAGTAGTATCCTTTCGCATCATTACAGGTGAAGTTTAGCCGTCAAATCATTCGAGTATTTAGTATCGGAATAGCGGCCTTGCGCTATATGTATTCTTCTTGAAATATCTCTCTCGGCTGGTTGCTTTTTAATGAACCCGGAAACCTGCTGTACTGCAGTTATTTAATGGGGACATAACGCCTCGTGCCAAGAACACAACTTGATTGTTGTGAGTAACGTTGAAGTAGTCATAGTTACACCATGCAGATAATGTACGAGAATAATGACTTAAGGCAGCCGAATTGCATCTTTAAAAAGGAGAGAAACTCCAGCTTGATATGGGAATGGTGAGAATCCACGGGCGACTATTAACACGATGCTTGTCGAGCGATTCCGCAAATTGCTGTCGAGCCTCTATGCCACCACACGTACCTGGCTCCAACTATCTGAAGTCAGCCGCGATGAAATCAAAGTTCAACAAGGAAGCTACACCTTCCCAGCAGAGTCAGAGCCCCATGAAGCGACAATCATGGGGCTACCATCTCGATGTTCCCTGCCGCCTGATCAGTTTGATGCTATGTGTAATGAATTAGCTCAACTAGCGGCGGCGATCACCGAGTTCGAACCAGTTCGGCTGTATGCGAGGCCTGAAGAAATCCAATTGGCTGAGTCCTTAGTCAAGACTTTTGTGAAAGACGCATCAAAAATATCCATTATTCCGTGTCCAATCAACCACTGCTGGGTACGCGATACAGGTCCAGTCTACGTGCGCGATAGGACAGGAGCATTCCCAAATCGACGCTTCGCAATCAATTTCCGGTTCAATGAATGGGGTGGGAAGAAACCCGAAGACGACGGAGCCTGCTGGGGTCAGCATTGGCCCTTGATGGACGAGAAGGCACTTCAGGAAAACACGGATTTTGCGCGGTGGGTAATCGAGCACGACCGCGAGCCCAGCCCCGTTACGCAGATCGAGACTTCGATTCGCGCCGAAGGTGGCGGTCTTGTTACAGACGGCGAAGGAACCCTGCTCATCACGGAGAGTAGCATTGTATGTGATGGGCGCAACCCAGGGATGTCCAAGGGCGAGATCGAGGCAGAGTTGAAGCGGGTGCTGGGTATTGAAAAAGTGATATGGTTTCCTGGGCGGCGCAATGTCGACATTACGGACGTGCATATGGATGCTGAGGCAAGATTCGTGCGCCCTGGTGTCATCGCTTACTCCAAACCACATGCCATTGCGATTGACCTGTGGAAAGAGATGTCTGAAGAGATCCGGGAGATTCTAGACCGTGAGACAGACGCTAAGGGTCGGCACCTGCAGATCCACACTATTGAAGAACCTGATCCACGAGGCTTGGTGAAATCCGATGACGATGAGCTAGCGGCAAGTTATGTGAATTTCTACTTTGTTAATGGAGGTTTGATAATCCCCAAATTTGGCGACGGAGAAAGGGATCAAAAGGCTTTGGAAAGGTTCCAGCGGTTGCTCCCTGAGCGGGTGATTCGGCAGGTGTATGCCAACGCCATTCCCCTTACTGGTGGGGTGCTTCACTGCGTCACTCAGCAGGTTCCTGCAATGCAGTGAGGACCAATGAGTTCAAGGATGTGGCTTGATGGGGGGAGAACACTTGGCTTTCCATTTAAAAATAAGATCGGTCTTCAAGGCTTTGTCGAGGTGCATACATGTTTAGGTCTGAGGATATATTCTGACTCAGACATTGCACCGCATATACGCCATTGAGGATGTATTTGGATATTCCATTTCCCGGTCATTCTGACTCTAACTAGTCCGCTGAAACTAAAATCTTCCCGGGGTTGAAAAAGCTCCCAGTGGGGATTCCAATGTTATATGTTATAAAGAACAGTCATCTACAGACAGCTGACTCTCCCAGAGATCTCAGCTCCGTAGATCCTAATTTCCATGAAAGAAGCAAATATCGAAGGTTGACATGTATTGCGTGGTGCATTCGATGTGTAACAGTATAATTGCCCGACAAAGCCGAGAAGCATCTCAGGAAGTTAAGTGATTCCTGCATGTTGAGACTTGAATTGGATTTCTATGACATAAAAAAGGATTCATGCTATTGATGTGTCACTATTTTGTAGATTCTTTTATTCCACAGAGACATTAGTCCAACGTTTAGTTCAACATTCCCGAGGAATATCAGCTTCAGCATTTCAGCATTGCATTCGAAACATACTACTATTACCAACATCCTGGTCGCACTACTCAGATATTTGGTGTAGTGATGACCTTGATATACCTGTGTGTACTTGTGGGATGCTACCTCTACTCCGTTCATGCATCTAACTCCACGCCTTCACTCATCAGGTCTCCACAATCCGCATAAAAAGTGTTGAGCTGATAACATTCATTAAATGGCTAAGTACCCAATATCGAAGCAGGATTGCCTCAATCGACCGATCTAGTCACCCATTGATTGTTCTTCATCCAATGTATATAAGACGTAAAGCCGTAGAATACACACGTCAACTTGTTTCAACAAAGATATAATTGGCTCTCTTACAGGTTAACTGGGGAAGTGAGGCCTTTATCCCGTGTGACTTGTTGCTTATTCCTTTCCATGAGATCCAACGTAATGCAGAGTTTCAACTGTGTGCAAAACTGGCACTTCAATGGCTTTTGTTCACCTGTTAGTTCCTCCGAGCCTCTTTAAACGATCGATTCGCACGGTGTCCACCAAGGAGCACAGTACATCTTTCCAAAGAGACCTAAACTTGAGGGATTTGTATTATAATCCGACATATGTTTTGTAATGTTGTTTCAGTTACAGAGCTCTCCATTTTCCACCGTTCTTCTCAATCGTCTACTCTCCACAGCCATGGCTCTCCTCCCTGCTCCTAGTGAAGCCGTGACCACTGGGAAAATCATACACGCCACGGGATATCGAAATCTCTCACCAGATGAGCTAGTCGACCTCGCAATTGAGAGTCACATTGCCCGTGTAGTCAAACGCTCTGTTGTTGGTGGCGATGAATCATTCTTCATCGCCGATTTGGGCCAGATACTTCGACAACATCGTCGTTGGACTCAGAATATGCCCGGTATACGACCGTATTATGGTATGGCACCCCATTCTATCACGTTTCCATTTTTAGAATAGAAAACTAACATCTTTCCTGCAGCGGTCAAATGCAATTGTGACTCAACCTTCCTCAAAGTTCTCGCAGAATTGGGGACGGGGTTCGACTGCGCGTCTATTGAAGAGATGCGCGCAGTTCTTAGCCTCGGCGTAGACCCAGCCCGGATTCTGTTCGCCAACCCATGCAAGGCACCCGCCGCCGTAGCTTTTGCACGCGAGGTTGGCGTCTTGCGAACAACATTTGACAATATCGACGAATTGGATACCATCAAGGCACACATGCCAGAAGCTCAGCTGTTACTTCGTATCTATGCAAATGACGAGGGTGCTTTCATTTGCCTGGGCGAAAAGTTTGGTGCGCAATTGGATACGACCGAAGAGCTACTTTCAAGAGCTTGGGAGCTTGGACTGAATGTGATTGGTGTTAGTTTTCATGTTGGTAAGTACTTGGATACTTGGGACTGTTATAGCTGGTCATATTTATTGACCATTCGGAACTATTAGGGACGGGTGCTACCAACCCAACATCCTTTTGCAAGGCCATCAAAGATGCGCGTCTCGCCTTTTCACAAGCTGAAAGTCTAGGTTTCCACCCAAAGATTCTCGATATCGGCGGTGGCTTTCAAGACCATTGCTTTGAGTCTATGGCCCCCATTATTCGAGATGCAATTCGGTCCGAGTTTCCAGCTGGTATCACAACGATTGCAGAACCAGGTCGGTTTTTTGCTCGTAGTGTGTATACTCTGGTATGTCGAGTGATTTCACGTCGCCGTCAGCTTGGGAGTGCTGCTCGATCTGGTGTTCCAGACATGCTTTATCAAAACGATGGTATATACGGAAATTTTATGAATGTGATTATGGAGAAAGAGACCATGATTCCGTATTTGGTCAAGAGTAAGAAGGCCAGGGGTTTCTTGCATAAACCAAAATCAGGGGACGCTTTGCAAGTAACAGATCATCGGTACTCGATCTGGGGACCTACATGTGACAGCACCGATTGTGTTGTGCGCGAGGTAACGCTGAATTCTGAAGTCAAGATTGGAGATTGGCTTAAATATAAAAACATGGGAGGTGGGTATCGCCATTTGATTCTTGGAATTTCAACAGAACTGACGCAGTTCCAGCATATACAAGTACCACGGCCACTCAGTTCAATGGGTTCAGCAGCACCTATAACACATTTTATGTCAACAGTGAAACGTTGCCTGACTATTAGCTGGTGTCCTGCAGAGGGTATTTGTGGTCTTGAAGCCATTGGTATGAGTGGTTCAGTCTTTTTCTCGAAGAGCCCATTGTGGATAAGTTGCAATGACATGATATATGATATGGCATATCAACGGTGTCTAAAAAAAAGTAAAAAAAATAAAAAAATAAAGGCACAAATAGCTGTGGCCCATGTGATTGACGGGCTTGTTGAGCATGTTGACAGGTCCGGGGCCGGTACAACCGCAAAACAAGTGGTTAGCAGCAGTTGAGGAATCAGATCGCTTACACGGTTTCCTGAAAATTTGAAGTGTAAATCGATGAATAGCCTGCATTCATTCAGCTTGAGCGCGCAGCCTCTTGCATATATCTATACCAAAAACCATAATATCCACAACTATAATAGTAGGATAACCGAGCCCATCCAAAAGAAAACAATAACCGCACGCTGAAACAAATAAACACCATAACCTCCAGGGATTTTCCTATCACTCCAGACGGAATGAAAATAGCAGAAAGGATATCAATCATAAGAAGGAAAAAAAAAAGGGAGAAAAGATGTCACAAGAGAAAGACATAAGAGCACCGCCGAGATAAGAGGCAAGAGGTGACAGAAATTGAAAATATGTAAAGAGAGACGAGAGAAAGCTCTAGGACGACATCATACTTTCTCCATTCCGGACATCGAGACGTCGTCTTGAATCGCATTCTCTGGAAGAGACTGCTTGATATCCATGTCATACGGCTGAGCGTCGGAGGCAGATTCACCCTGCTTCTCTGACATGTCGGATGAAGCTCCGTTCTCGGGTCGTTTCCGGCCAAGCCGCTCGCACCAGTGCTCAGCACTGACCAATGTGTCATTGACTACACCGCTGACTTGCGCCATCATGTCTAGACCCTCTTGGGCCAGCACTAGGATGCGATGAGCACTGATTGTGGCGTCGGAGGCGGCAGCTGGGGAGTCTGGTGGTGGCTGTGATGTGGATGCAACCTGGAAGCGGTGCGGCAGAGACGTCAAGTGTCGACGCACTAGATGGCGGGCATTTTCTGGTAGAGCGCCTCCTGCATACTTGGAAACAACGTCCACTACTTGTTTCAAGGTTGATAGCACATCGGCCTTGACAGCTTGGATGCGCTGGATAAGCAACGAGGCACTTTCTTGCCCATTGCCTCCGGCCTCCATATCCAACGGCGATCGTGCTTTGTGGGTTTCCCACTCGTTGACAGCACTGTGCAGTGCTACAATGGACTTGCCTAATCGACCGTTTGCCCATCGAAGCCAAGTTAGACAATATTGCAGACTACGCAACGATTCATCGCTCATGGCGACTCCAAGTCCAGAAGTCGAAATAACTAGTCGGCTTTGCCATGTTGGCTCAGCACGTCTTCCTGGTTTCTCCTCGTAGTGAGGAGACCTTATTTCGTCATACGGCGGGAGCGACTCGTCCATGGAGAGATCGGACGGGCTTCGTGTTCGCGGTGGGTGAGCTGAGCCGTCCGGTCCCTTATTCCCATTCACCGTCCTCGGTGACACATCCCCATCCATCTTTCGTCGCTTATTGATGTGTTTTGGGTCTTCGCTCGTCGAATCTCGCCGCTGCAGCGCCCAACGGAGACCACTCTCGACACCAGTCTTGCGGCCTACCGTGCCGACGGTGTTCGCGACAGGTGATCCAATATTGCGCTCGATGAACTCAGCACCGGACTTGAATCGCGGCGAGTATGATTTCGACGTGGCGTAAGCAGAAACTGAGCCGTTTATGGCAGAGGAGATAAGTGGATGGGAAGAAGTTAGCAGAGACAATAGTGGCTCTGGCTGTGGTGGGTCCGGTGAAGTGACGGGAAGGGATTGTCGCGCTGTTCGAGGAGATTGACCGAAATCTACTGTTTAGATTAGTTAAAGGTCCGTCGCACAGTAATCCTAATCCAGCGAAAACCGAAAGTTGCGACACTTTAAGTGGGCTGGTTTGGGATTTCAGAGCCACATACCGGAGCGAAGCCCCTCAAGGGCCTGCGCAGCTTCGAGATCATCCATCGATAATACACTGGCAGCTCGACGAGATCGATCTTCAGCTTTATCGACATCCATCACGGATGTATGAGCATTATGATAAGGCGGAGCCGTAAGTGATGGAGCGAGGTTACTTGTAAGCGCGGAGGGGAGCGAATTGGTCAAGCTCAGACTTGTGGCGTTTATCTTTCGGACAGGTGGTTTTGGCCTAGCGGTTTTTGGTTGTTCCATGGCGGGTCATAGATCGTCCATAGAGAGAGAGTACTC